TCAAGCATGATATCCCTTTCCAAGGAATAGCCTCTCCCAGCAAAACATCCTAAGTGTGAATGAAGCTGCACCATCCTTGCCTCCAAGGAACACTCTGGCTGTACTTTTTGCAAGACATATATATATATATTTGTTCTTTTGACACTCCATTCAGTATTCTTCTCCAACATGACAGCTCAAAGGCATTAATTTTTCTTCCATCATCCTTATTCATTGTCCAGCTCTCAAATGCATAGAAAGTGGCGGGAAAGACCATGGTTTGAATCAAGCACCCCTTAGTCTTCAAACTGTTATCATTGCTCCTCAGTACTTTGGAGAGGTCTCTGACAGCAAACTTCCCTGACACAAAATGTCTTTTTATTTTTTGACTGTTGGTTCCAAGGATATTGATTTGGAATCTAAGATGATGTCATTCACAATTTCAATCTTTTCTCCATCTATCATGATGTTCGTTATTGACATGTTTCAAAAAACATACACAGCCCTGGACATGTTCACCAGTTTCTGCTAAGGAATTTGGAAGACAGCTACCTGGCCAACTGACTGGAAGATAATTGGAATTGTTCCCATTCCCAAGAAAGATGATCCAACAGAATGTGGAAAGAAATATCATTAATATAACATGCAAGCAAAATATTGCTGAAGATCATGCAAAACCAGCTAGAACAGTAGTGCATTGAAAGAGAACTTCCAGAAATTCAAGATGGGTTTAAAAGAGGCTGTGGCTATAGGAATATCATTGTCAGAGGGGTCCTGGCTGAAAACAGATAATACCAGAAGAATGTCTATTTGCGTTTTATTGTCTCTGCAAAAATATTTAACTGTTATGAGCTTAACAAACTATGGCTAATATTGGGAAGAATGAGAGTCTCTGAAAATTTAATCATTCTCATACAAAACCTATACCTATACTAAGAAGCTGCATGGTGTAAAGTCAAGACAGGTGTGCGTCAGAGCTGTAGCCTCTCTCGGTCCCTGTTCAGTTTGTACGCTGAGATAAAGAAGATTAGATAAATGGACTCTTTGAAGAAGAATGTGACATCAGGATCAGACAAAGACTCATCAGCAGCCTATGTTATGCCGACGACACAACCTTGCTTCCTGGAATTGAGAAGAACTGAAAGCACTTGCTACAGAAGATCAAAGACTACAGCCTTCAGTGTGGATTACATCTCAACATCAAGAAGACAGAAATCCTCTGCACTGGGCAGGTAAGGCAACATCATGATAAATGGAGAAAATATTGAAGTTGTCAGGGACTTCTAAATAGGTCTCTCATGAATTCTCTGGTCACTTCCCAAATGTGTGTTTGGCTCTCTTACCCTTGACCAGTACTAACAAGTGTTTAACAAAGGACGGTCAGCTTGGTGAATTCATTACCCACTAACAATGGTCAGGGATACGATTCCCTGTCTAGATTTGAATCCAAGCTATGCTATGTCCTTGCTTTGGAACTTTGCACAAATTAACCTTGTTCAGCCTCTGTTTTCTCATCTATAAAATGGGATGACATTAGGAGCACTTAGGATGGAGGAGGATAGGGCAAGTTTTCTATCTGTTACTCACAGGGTTCCTGAAGGCACCTGGCAGCAGACTTATAGCCTGAAAGTGACCCTGTAAAACAACAGAGCCCAGTCCAATCCTAGCCTGTGCCGTCCTCACCATCCCTGACACACTAGAGCCCATCGCTGCAGTCACTGAGTCACTCCTTCTCGTTGAGGGTCTTCCTCTGTTTTACTGACCTTTACAAGCACGATATCCTCTTCCAAGGAATAAATCCTTCAAGGAACATTCCTAAAGTATATGAGATAAAGCTTTGCCATCTTTGCCTCCAGCGAGCTCTTTGGCTGCACTTTCTCCAAGACAGACTTGTTTGTTCTCTTGGCAGTCCGTGGGATAGTCCGTGCTCTTCTCCAACACCACAGCTCAAGGCTATGATTTATGTTCTGCCATCCTTATTCATTCTTCACATTTTAATTAGATAATCAATATAATGTGACAAACTCAAGGGGATTCCATGAACGCTGGCAAGCTTGGTAGCTGCAGCCATGGTTGGCTGAAGAAGTGAACTAAAAAACACACCAAAAATGAGGGAATCTCTACACTGGAATAAAGACCATTTGTGTGTAAGACACCCTAAGAATCCCTTCTAATTGATGGTGGTGAAGCATTCTTTAACAGGTGGAGGCTGAAGGGCGCAGTGTTTCGTAGAGGATTTGTCCAAATAGATGTTTTTTTAGTGAAAAGAAACTGAAAAATAATTTATAAATAAAAGAAAAAAGAAACTCCCCCCTTAGAATTCATCATAGCCTTACAGAAAGCTGCCACAGAAATGTATTTTGGTAATGAAATCACTTTTATCTAGAACGTGTCTTGTCTTACAGATGTGGGCTGGCTTTATTGTTTTGGTTTTGTTTTTTTTTTTCTTCTCAGAGCTGTGGCTTCAGTGCTGCAAGTGAAGTGAAGGGTGGCCCCCCACCCCCACCGCAGAAAGATGGCACATTTAAATCAGAGAGTGCGATTAGGAGAGGCAGCTGAGGCTGTCAGTCCAGTGGGTTGAGCCCCCTTGGCTCTCCAGCTGGGCAGGGTGAGGGGATAGAAGGCTGGTTTTCTCCCAGTTGAAACTCAACATCAAGAAGACAAAGATTCTCACCACTGGGACAACTAGTAGCACCATGATGTCAGGCCGGAGACTCAGGTGCACCGGATCCAGGCCATGGTCTTTGCAATTGCATTAGAGAGCCAGACAATGACTAAGGATGGCAGAAAAGAATTGGTGCTTTTGGTGGTGCCGGAGAAGAGTATTGAACATATAATGGACTGCCAAGAGAACAGGTCTATCCTGGACAGGGTGAAACCAGACTCCCTAGAGGCAAAGACTTTTGAAGCTCCGTCTCACACACTTCGAGCATTTGGCCAGGAGAGACCAATCCTTGAAGGGCATCATGCTCAGAAGGGTGAAGGGCCAGCACAAGAGAAGAAGACCCCGGATGAGATGGATTGGAGTAACTGGGGCCATGGGAGTAGGTGTGCTGGAGACAGTGAGACTGGCTCTGGACAGGGCAGGTTTCAGAGTGGTTGTACACAGGATTGCTGTGGGTTACAGGCAACCTGATGACACGTAACAAAAACTGCTCACCTTGGTGCTCCCCTCAGGGTGTTCTCAGGGAACTCCTCTCAGGGTGTTCCCATCAGGGTGCCCCCCTCAAGGTGCTCTTCTCAGGGTGCTCCCCTCAGAGAGAAAGAGAGGAAGACATAGTGGAGATGAAAAAAAAAAGATGAACTGACAGGGTCTGCTTGCAGCAATGGGCTCGAGCGTGTCAGAGATGATGAGGTTGGCCCAGGTAGGACAGGGTTCAGGTCTGCTGTTTAGAGGGTCGCTGTGAGTTGTACTTGATTCAAGGGCACCTAACAACTACAACCACCACAACCATGGTCAGAGAACAGACATCCGGGGGCATTCACTCTCTATTAGGACATGGGAGCTGGCCCCACCAGTGTGCAGCCTCTGCTGTCCTCTTCCTCTGTCTTGTCGCAGGGATGGAGCCGGGCAGGGAGGACGCAGCCCCACGGGGCTGATGGGACACAGTCTGACCACATGTAGATGCACAATAAGAGAATGGCCCACATCCTGGCCCCTGCAGCCCTCTACAGACAAGCAGGACACAGTGGGTCCCAGGAACAGGTGTGGGGACTCCCAGTGGGCAGGGATGGACAGGCGTGAGCATGCCTGGCTGGTGCTGCCTCTGCTGTGGTGTCCCCTCTGTTCCCTGTTCCTCCCACTGCAAATGCCCGAGGAGCGGAATGCTCTGGGGAACCCAACAAAGGGGGGGGGCAGTGGATGAGATGAGGATAGGCGGAGGGGCAAAGAGGCCACGTTGGGTGGGGAAAGTGGAAGGTGTAGAACAGCTGATGAGTCAAGTGCCCAACCACCCTCCGGCGGGCTTCACATGGGAGGAGGCTGCCCATCCCTCTCCCACAGAGCAGCTGGTGGATTTGAACCATGTACCTTTGGGATGGCAACTACTTGAGCTCCCTAGAACGCAGCATGCAGTCTAGGCTGGCCCTCTCAAAATTCGTGGCTTGTCTGTGTCTGCTGGCTCAGAGCCCCCACGCCACCGTGGGGGACCCGAACTGGATCCGCAGAGCGCTGACCAGGCCCTGCTGATGCTGGGCACAGGGCTGATTGTGGAAAGCGCCCTCTCTCTCCTGTGAAAACACGTGCCTCCTGTCGGAGTCTCAGTGATAGACCATGAGGAAGGACAGCATGTCTTACTCTTTTCCAGAACAGTCTGGGGAGTGTTCGGCTTTGGTTTTAATCCCAGGCTAGCACTGCCCGTCGTGTGTTAGGGCTGCTGGTGACCAGAAGCCATATGCAGCCAAATGAGGGCAACTGTGAGTCTGCAGACGAGAGCCGGGAGCAGAGGGACCAGTCCAGGTCCTCACAGACGTCTGGTGGGCACTGGTGCAGCCCAGGGGCACAGAGTGCTTAGCAATGGAAGCCCTGACCTCAGCATTTCATCCACGCTCCGCATGACCTGTTGTCTGTTCAGCTGGACGCTGAGCTTTGCTCGTGAACGGAAGGTCCACGCAGTACCTCCACTGACCCCTTTCCCCTCTACCTGGAGGCCAGTCAGTCCAGCCTGTGAAAGCTGACCTGGAGACCTCAGCTCATCCGGCCCTGGGGCCCACTGATGATCCTATCTTGGGGAGATAGTTGGATATATAGGGAGCTCCCATGGCTTAGCAATAAGGAGCTGCACTGCCAACCCAAAGACACACGGTTCAAATTCACCAGTTACTTTGCAGGCAGAAGATGGGAAGTCTCCTCCTATGCAATTTATACCCTCTGAAGACCCGCTGGAGGGCCAGCTGTGAGCCACCCCTAGCTTGACAGCACACAGCAAGAGCAGCTGAGCACGTGCCAGGGGGAGAGATGTAAAGGCTCGCGTCTGTGATGCCCCAGGACTCAGGACCCCTCTCGCTCTCTCTCTCCTCAGGCTGAGGCAGCTGGACAAGCACAGCCAGGCCACCGCGCAGCATCTGGTGCAGCTCCTCAGCCAGCAGAACCAGCTCCTCCTGGAGAGACAGAACCTGGCGGAGGAGGTGACGCACCTGCGCGCCCAGGTACCCACATCAGACCGCGGCTGCCAGCACAGGCTCCCAGCGTCCCTCCTCCGACCTGCATCCATCAAGTAGGCGAGGTTCTCAGGGGCCGTGTCATTGTGCTAATAGGCTGGGCACATTGAGACTGGGGGCACTGGACAGGCAAGAACCAGGGTCCTGTCCTTTAAAGGGGACTAAGGCAGGGCCCCATTCTAATGGGTGACTCTCATCTTGTTGAGATGCTGGAAGCCAATGCAGGCAGTAGTCACCCAGGGCAGACAGGTGTCAGTGGAGCTTTCAGATAGGAGGAATGGCCTCACAATCTGCTTGTAAAATCAGCCAGGAAGATCCCAGCTCACAGCAAGTGCTGGTTAGTGTGTTGCTGGGAGGTAAGGCCCTGAGGTGAAGCCACCTGGTATACACGGTGACCCCAACAGTACACTCAGGTCAGCAGGCCTGGACAGAAGTGACAGATGGGGGGGGCATGCCCTGTGGAAAGAGGGAGGGCAACAGGGGGTCGGCTCTATGAGGGTGGCCTGCATGGGGTTGGATTGTTGGGGGGAACTGAACAGGAGACAGCAGTGTTTTCAGCAGGGAGTCACTGTGAATGGGAGGTGGAAGGAGTTGTGGACTAGCGTGCACAGGCCGACACGTGCGTGTTTGCCCAGTGCCTCATCCATGTCACACTCACCATGCGCACTGGCCCCTTCCCCTGGACAGGCCTGCAGCACAGTAAGGTCTCCTTTGACAGGTGGAATATGGGGCCCACCACCCAGTATTGCACTGTTCAGTTAGATCCAGGGCCACCGACAGGGAGGATGGAAAGAAAGGGGTTCAGGTGAGACCAGGGTTGAATTCAACTTTTGATGCTAAGCTGCTTTTACTATCAGAAAATCCCAAACTAAGTCTGTCCATATTCCTGGAAACCCTCTGTCAGATTTCCCAGGCTGTAAATGTTCACAGAAGAGGTTGCCCGCTTTTCAGATGGTAGTTTTGAACTATCAACCTTTGGAGTTGGCAGCCAGGCTCATTACACACTAAGCAGCCAAGAAGGCTGTGCTTTCAGCCTCAGCACACCCTGTTAGAACTGGGGGGTGGGGGGAGGCTGGCCATGAGGATGCAGGGGGGATGTTTTGATGCCTGGAGGGTGCTGGAGTGAAATTAAGGGCAATGCACCTGGACATGAAAACAAGCTGTCTGTCTCACTTCTTCCTAAATGACTGCCTACTGGAGAACTGCATACCGACTTCTCTCACCAGCTCAGCAGCTTGTTCTGGAAGGTGCTTGTTCATCCCACAGAGAGGGACACAGCACACCCGGGGTGCCAGGCTTAGCGCCAGGGGAGGGTGGAGGTCCCAGGTGCTGTCCCCTCTGGTGGTGCTGAACCTGCTGGCAGGGAAGAAGACGGAGCAGACAGTTCCACACCCATACCACTTGTGAGAGGACATAGCCCCCAGCACCCCGCACGTGGTGGGGTCAGCCGTCCCAGCAAAGTCCAGCAATCGGCATTTCACACACTTTTTCAGAAATTCTGGGAGCTACTGTTTTGGAACCTGTGAAGTTTCTGGAGAATGAGTAGAGATGTCTCCTGCTTCCGCCTTGCTATTAGGCTCACCCTCAGCCTTCCGCATCTGCAGTGGGCCTTAAGCAGCTTGACTCCAAGGTAGAGTGGAAAATGAGTGCAGCTGTGCCAAGCATGGCTTGTGGCCCCCAAGAGACACGGCCTCCTTCAGAACCCACACAGGGGACATCTTACACACTCAGAGCCCAGTCATCACCAAATGTACTGCAAAATTGTCCCCTCACGCATTCAAAAGAAAGAAGGTATTCCAGGAAAGCCTGCAGGTCCCTCCTCCTGCGCTGTCTGATGCTGGCCAGCTGTCTGGTCTCCAGAGAGAGACATTTAGAGTTCAGTCTTGCACGTGGAGTTGTTTTAATATGAAGACAGTTAAAACAGCTGTCAGGGACCTCTACAGAGTGCTAAAGAGCAATGATGTCAGTCTAGAGATTAAGGTGTGCCTGATCCAGGCCATGCTCTTCTCAATTACTTACTATGCATCTGAGAGCTGGACGGTGACCAAGGATGGCAGAAGGACCTGTGCTTTTGAGCTGTGGTGCTGGGGAAGAGTATTGCACATACCATGGACTGACAAGAGAACAAACAGGTTTGTCCTGGAGAGGGTAAAACCAGGCTGCTCCTTGAGGCAAGGATTCAGAAGTTTCATCTGACATACTTTGGCCATGTGGCCAGGAGAACCTGTCCTTGGAGAGGGACATCATGCTTGGAAGAGTAGAGAGACAGTGCAGGAAAGGAAGACCCCAGATGACATGGATGGACACAGTGGCAGTGGCAATCAGGTCAGGACTGTCAGAGGCGGTCAGAGTGGCTCAGGATAGGACAGTCTTCAGAGCCATTGTTCATAGGGTCGCTATGAATCATAATTGACTTGATGGCACATAACAACAACAAAGCAGCTTGGTAGAAGAAAGGTTAGCTCTGTGGTGAACACTGGTGCTCGGAGATGCCCATGCAGCCCCCATGCTGTTACCCCAGCCTGCGCTGGCCCTGTGCTGCCGCTGTCATTCACGCCACCACTGAGCAGAGTGGACAGAACTAAACATGACTTCAGCACTTGAGATGACCGGAGCTGCTTCTCCGGTCTGGGAGACGCTGCCCCGAGTGGTGGGTGACCAGTCACTTTCACTTCAAGCCTCCTTGGACCCCACTTCTGATGGGCTTCTTCACATTCACTGGGGCCACTTTCATCTCTGGTGTAGAGGAGACTGAGCTAGGTCCCCGTTTTCTTGCCGGGATGAACCAGTTTTCCATGTCAAATTCTAGAAAACCTCTGGCCACCCAGTTCCCAGAAGAGGGCGGACTTCACCTAACCCTGGAACATCCCTGAAGCTCTGTCACCACCGTCCACGCACTACTGGTTCTGACCTTGAAACTGTGGCCCAGGTGACGGAGGACAGGATCAAGGTGACAGAGGGCGAGCTCAAGGTTACCCTATACACAGAAGGCTTTAGTCTGTGGCCATAGCACCCTGAACGCTCCCGATCTCGCCTGATCTCAGGAGCTAAGCAGGGTCAGGCCTGGTTAGTACTTGGATGGGAGAAGGCTTTGTTGTTGTTGTTGTTGTTGTTGTTGTTATGTGCCGTCGAGTCATTTGCGACTCATAGTGACCCTATGTACAACAGCCTTAAACCGTGCTCTATCCTGCGCCAATCTCATTGCCTCTGACATACCCATCCCGATTACCCCAATCACTGAATCAATCCACCTCATAGAGGGTCTTCCCCTCCTGTGCTGTCCCTCCACTCTGCCCAGCATGATGTGCCTCTCTAAAGACCTGCCTCTCCTTACAACATGTCCAAAGTATGTCAGATGAAGCCCCAGAATCCTTGCCTCCAAGGAGTAGCCTGGTTTAACCCTCTCTAGGATGAATCTGTTTGTTTTCTTGGCAGTCCATGGTACATTCAATACTCTTCTCCAGCACCACAGCTCAAAGGCGTCAATTCTTCTATCCTCCCTAGTCATTGTCCAACTCTCTGATGCATAACCATGATTGCAAAAACCATGGCCTGTATCAGGCGCACCTTAGTTTCCAGAGAGACACCGTTGCTCTTGAGTACTTTAGAGAGGTCCCTAACAGCAGACTTTCCCATTGCAATATGTTTTTTGATTTCCTGGCTACTGGTTAGTCTTGATTATTTCTGCATTCAGTCTGAAATATGACCGGCAGCATGCCTGACAAAGATCATCACAGCCATGACTGCCACCCCAGCATCCTGGCCACGACGACCCGTGTCCCCTTCAATGACGCTACAGTCTGGTAAACCTGCCAGCGGAGGGGCTGGCCTGCAGACTGGGCAGCAGCCTTGCTCGGCACTAACCACTGGACACACAGCCTAGGTGTTAGGTGCCATTGAGTCAAGCCCTGCCGATAGCGACCCTGTCCACAGGGCTCTGAACGCTGTCCTTTCCTGTGCCGTCGTCATCATCTAACACACTCGAGCCCACCACCACCATCACCATGTCAATCTGTCTTCTCCAGGGTCTTCACCTCTTTCACAGACCCTTCGTTCCAAGCATGATGTCCTTTTCCAATGACTGGGGCCTGTTCTTAAGTCAGCACTGAATTAAATCAATGGCTTTTCCAATCTGCCTCTCTGGAGGGAAAGGAAACATCCGGAACACAGCTCTGAGGGCATCATGAAAGGGCTGCACTGGTCCTTGAGAAGAGGAGGTGTTATGTTCCAACTCGGCCCCAAGCCCCCTCCCTGCCCACCTGTTGGGTCCCAGTGCCCTGGAGGCAGAGGCCGTTCCCTCCTGCTGAGTCCACTAGTGACACTGGCCCCTTTGAGGCCAGGATTCAGGGGATTCGGCTGTTGTGGCATTGGGTGGGAGGACCCACAAGAGGGTCAGGGGCCAGGGGTTTGTGACCAGAGCCTGGGGCTTGAACATCTGGCGGGAAGAGGTAGCAGCTGGTGAGGAAATAAGTATTTTCTTGAGAGAGGAACATGGAAAGCCCGTCCGTGCACAGAGGATCCTCCTAACTCCAGGATGAGTTTGTGTGTACTTGGGTCTGGTGATGAACAGGACTCTGAGTTGCTGGCATTGTTCAGAGCCACCTTCCAAGCCAGGCGCTGGGGCATTCCTGGTGCTCAGCTTGGGGGATGACTCCCCATCACGCCTGCACATGAATCAGGCAGACAGTTTAGAAACAGCCCGCAAATGATTTATCAATGGCTAATCAGGCAGACCTCGGACTTCTTAGAGCTTTCTTGGCAGTAGGTCTCCCTTCTAATTTGATTTAGACTTGCGCATGGGTCCAGCCGCCGTATGTGATTGTTAGTCATGATTGTCCACATGCTCTCGTAGAACAAGGCGGCTCAGGGAATGGGGCTGCAAATGCCACAAGAAGTGGCAGCTGAGGCCAGGAGTGATGGAGGGAGCACAAGTCAGATAGAGGGTGACCTGGTGGAGGGCTGAGCCACGCCACTGGGAGGTAGGGCCTTGGGGGGCCTTGGGAGGCTGGTGACCCAGGACCCCCTTGCTCCCACAACTCAGGAGTGTCCCCAGAGTTAGA